CTTATGATTAAGGATTTCAAGTACGTTCCCCTTCAGTTACAGGCTCGAAAGGTTTCCAGAAACAAACTATGGGTGCCTGGCTGTGAGGCCTACATGTAGGACAAGTCACCCAATGGGCGCTGTGCAGTGGAAACAGGTCAGCGTTCCGCTTAAACAGTCAAATTCACGGTGTCAATAGACGCCGATTACATTTGAATGCGTCCTTCTGACATAAGCTGCTAAAAAGGCCGTATGAAAACAAATCAGGCGCTCAAGATCGAGCATTGTGATGCTCATGGTCGGTGGAAAAGAAAGAAATGTGCAAGGAGGATGGTGAGCTATGAAATCATAGAATGAAAATCCTGAAAGAAAAAAGTTTTTCTGATTCTATCTGACATTGAGAGATTCTCAAAGGTCCCTGAATTCTCCCGGCTCGTCGAACTTTCCCGGAGTTTTTCCGAAAATTCTCCTTTTTTCTCTAAGAAGTGCTGTCGAGCGAGGGGAAAAGAGGGATATGCAGTACATCTGAAGCATTAAAAATCGAGAAAAGTCAACAACAATTCTCTTTCTCCCAAAAGCAAATACAACGACCCTCCCTACAGCAACCAAATACGATCGCTCTGCTGGGGATCCCCAACATACGACAGGTCCTGACTGTAAAGAGGAGAATAGGAAGAGCCCAATGGGTTCTCTATCCGTGCGCGAACTCCGAGTCTAAGCACATGGCACGAGCGCACGACCGTTGTAATGGGGCTTCTGTTTTTGCTGTTGCTTTGGTTATGGGAGACATGTCACATATTAAAAAATCTTTGCCACTGGTCACCTACTACAAGTAGTTTGAAGTAATGAGCGTGCATAAGCGCTTGTAAATCGTGGGTTTTCTTTTGTCATATCATCACATTGAGCCCTCGAGGACATAAAAAAGCGTACACAATTAAAGAAGAAGATTTTCTGAGCTGAAATCACCCACATAAAATTACTTACTGTTCAGTTCGCACGTTGGCGATGAAGTCATATTCTCGTCCTTTTGGATAGTACATATCCTTTTTAGCGACGACTCCACCCTCATAGTATGAGCCGGCTGTGACAAGATCTGTGCCAACATAGATCTTGTTTGGCACTTTGATGGTGCAACACCTCAGCAAGACGCTGAAATGATTCACGGTTGATTCCTCAGAATCAGCAAGTGCTCCTTCAACATGATACCTTTGCCCATTCGGAGCCCAACGCATCCCTGAGAAGACATCTGTGTCAGCACGGCAACTTGCTTGGTCTTGAATACATCGACGTCCTACTTCTCCGCACGGAATCGGTCCACACTCCGCTTCGAGTGTACCGTCATCGAAAACGGTGATTCGGGTTATCGCCTGAATGAAATCGGAAA